TAAGCTTTCAAGTTCTGTTTTTGTTTGATTTCTTGAATAAAATATTCCGATGTAAAGGCAACATATTTAACTTTGGCAGCAAACAATCCCAACATTTTTAATAATTTTGCTATTCATATCATATTTATATTATACAATGAAATACTTGTAGTTTTTGGAGTCTAGTGTCCGTTTTCTAAAGTATTTCTAAACATTTATCTGTTTTTATTGTAGTTTTTATTTGTGTTGTAACTAAAAGGTGACAAAAACTTTTTATTGTTGTTAGTAATAATAATGGAGGTGATAAAGTGTTAAATAAAGTCCTAAATATATTTTATAAATATTTAAAGTTTGGTCTAAATGGAAACAATTCATTTGGAGCTGGTTGTTGATTGGCTGTAGGATCACAGCAGCTCGTTAGCCTTGTTAGCATTATTTGTCTTGTCAGCAGTTTTAACATTGTTAACAGAGTTCAGTGAGGCTCCAAGTCTGTTTGTAATAAATGTTTTTAAATGAGTCTAGTAGTGTTTTCGAGTCTGTCGGGGCGCTCTGCTGTTTGATGTCAGTCTGTTTCAGTTTAACAGGCCGAGGCGAGGAGCCGCTCAGCTGCTCTCAGCCAAAAACAGACTTAATAAATGCAGAAATGAAGAATAAAGAGAGAGAGAGAGAGAGAGAGGGAGGGAGAGAGAGAGCAAGAGAGAGCAAGAGAGAGCGAGAGAGAGAGGAGAAGAGGCTTCACAGCCTCGAGTGTTGGCAGCAGCAGGTTGAAACTCGTTTCTGTCGCTTTAAGAAGAATAACAAGAACAAAAGTGCTGGTCTTCATCACTTCACATGAAGTAGTTCCTCTGACGTCTCTGCATGTAGATGATCAAAGAAAACAAACGAGATAAAAGGAGGAAAACAAAGCAGGAAAAACAACAACACAATAAATAAACCGTAAACGTTAAAATATAATCTGGAAAAAATGAATTGAACCCAAAAATCTGTTTGAAGACGAGCTGGAAAACATCATGTCAGCTTTATCATGTGAGTGCTGCTTTAAAATAGAAAAAGCTTAGTGAAAGTAGCCAAAGGCTAAGTAAAAGATAAAAGTTTGCAAAAAGCTTGTAAAACGCTAAAAGTAGCAAATCTGTAGCTAAATCCTGAAAATAGCAAAAGGATTGTAATACGCTAATATAGCAAAAGGCTAGTTAAAAGCTATAAAAGTAGCAAAACTGTAGATGAAAGTTAAAAGTAGCCAAAAGCTAGTTCAAAGCTAAAAGTAGCAAAACTGTAGCTGAAAGTTAAAAGTAGAAAAGCTAGTTCAAAGCTAACAGTATCAAAACTGTAGCTGAAACTTAAAAGCAGCAGAAGGCTAGTTAAAATATAAACATAACAAATATGTAGCTAAATCCTGAAAAATAGCTAAAGGATTGTACAAAGCTAAATGAACAAAAGGCTAGTTAAAAGCTAAAAGTAGCAAAAAGCTAGTTAAAAGCTAAAAGCAGCAAAACTGTAGCTGAAAGCTAAAAGTAGCCAAAATCTAGTTCAAAGCCAAAAGTAGCAAAACTGTAGCTGAAAGCTAAAAGTAGTAAAACTGTAGCTGAAAGTTAAAAGCAGCAGAAGGCTAGTTAAAAGATAGAAGTAACAAATCTGTAGCTAAAACCTGAAAATAGCTAAATGATTGTTAAAAGCTAAATTAGCAAAAGGCTAGTTAAAAGCTAAAAGTATCAAAATGCTATTTAAAAGCTAAAAGCAGCAAATCTGTAGCTAAAACCTGAAAATATCTAAATGATTGTAAAAGGCTAAAAGTAGAAAAAGGCTTGTTAAAGCTTAAAGTAGTAAAACTGGAGCTAGAAGTTCAACTAGTAGCTAATATTAGCAGGCTAACAGAAACATAAAAGTAGCAAAATGGTAGCTAAAAGACAAAAGTTGAAAAATTGAGCAAAATTGAACTAATGGGTTAAAAGAGCAGATTGTAGTTAAGGAAGCCGGAAACAAAAGCAGAAGCTAAAGCAGATTTCAAAGAGAGCAATGAATGGCTTTGAACTGATGTGCATGGATACTTATGGGTGGGGGGGGGGGGGGGGGGGGATGCAAATAAAGCTAAATACTTTCTAAAGTATAAAACTTACAAATCCAAAAGTTGTAACACCCATCTCCTGAGTGAGCTGAACCTTTTAACTTGTAAACAACAAAAACTGAGTAGGAGAGCTGCAGTACCACATTTGACCACAGGGGGCGACAGTCGTTCTGCTGATAAAGAATTACAGCAAAATTTTTGTTAACATTGCCACATGGCAGTGTACCATTTTTAGTTTAAACACCGACTGCCTTTGAAGTGGGCACAGTTTTAACTAATAACATGCAATGCACCCACTTTTTCCCTCAGTGACCCTGATGAGGAGTCGTGTGTATAGGAGCTCCTCCACATGCACACATTTCCACAATACTGTGACAATAAATATGTTGTACGACTTATTTGTACAGAGGCTTTTATCAAATGTTTCATTTGTGAGTTTTTATTCAGTAATTTGTGCATGTTGGCGACATTGCGCAATTGTGGAATAACTGGGCTAAATTTGAGCCGGATCCTGCCGGAACAGGAACTCTCTTATTTTGTGTGTTCCGGCAACTCTCAGGCTCACTAATAAAGTTAGGAACAGATATGTCTGCCTTGAATGAATAAAACTAATGTTGGATATGTAAACGAAAAATAATCATATAAACACTCATTTTAAACACAACAGCATACCCATCTGCCTCTTCAAGTAGCATTTCTGCATATACCCTTAAAGAAAACTCCGCCCCTAAAAGAGCGGTGAGGGCCGAGCTAACCGGGCAGTCGTATGCGGGCAGGAGCTCACAGGCAGCCACCTGGAGGTGTCACATGTGGAGTCGGACAACTTACTTGACGGTTTTGTCAAGTGTGTGTGTGGGGTGTGTGTGTGTGTGTGTGTGTGTGTGTGTGGGGGGGGGGGGTTGGATGCTTGACAGAGGAGTGTTTACAATTGTAGGTAAATGTAGATGTTGCAGATGTTCTGCTGGGTTGATGGTAGATGGGTTAACAACCCGTTAAAATACATCAAAATGCAGGAAATCACATCTACTTTATTCAAAACTTTCTGGGGGAGGAGCCCCAGAACCCCTCCCTAAAATTGTGGTTTACAAATTAAGCCCTGTGGAAGAATGTCCATGAGTAGAACCTGTGGTTTCTTTATTTATTACTTCCATTCGTCCGTCCGTCCATCTGTCCGTCTGTCCGTCCATCCATCCATCCATCCATCCATCCATCCATCCATCCATCCGTGCATCCATCTATGCATGCATGCATAGTGGAGTTTATCCCAGCGTGCTTTGGGAAAAAGCAGGATACACCTGAATTCAAGGATTCAAGGTTCTTTATTTGTCGTTCCACCACATGTGGTACACGTGGTGGCACGAAATTGTGTACACAGGGTCCCAGTTACATCCAACAAAAGTATTAAAATGTCAAAGAAAAACAGTAATAAGATCTAAGATATGAACTAAGCAAAACATTAACTAAAAATACTCTAAACACTGATAGCTTAAAAACATTATGTCGAACAGCAGCACGAACACGAGTCTGTGTGAGCAGATGAGTACGCATGAACACAGCAACATGAAACAGATCAGCAGCAACATGAAACAGATCAGCAGCAACATGATGTGATTCTTCAAAAAGTGATTATTCTGGTTAGAGATTCATGAGTCTAACAGCCTCAGGGTAGAAGCTGTTCCTCAGTCTAGTGGTTCTACACTTAATGCTCCTCAACCTCCTTCCTGAGGGGAGTGGGGCAAGAAGTGTGTGTGCTGGGTGAGTGGTGTCCTTCATGATGCAGGTGGCTCTCTTCCTGCATCTAGACGTGTAGATGTCTGTGATGGTGGGGAGACTGACTCCAGCAGACTTCTGTGCAGCTTTCACCACTCTCTGCAAAGCTTTTCTCTCTGCAGCTGTGCAGCCTCCATGCCACATGTTGATGCTGGAGCACAGGATGCTCTCCACTGCACACCTGTAGAAGGAGGTGAGGACTGAGGACTTGCAGTGAGGTGACAGGACTGACCACTAATCCAAGGACAGATACCAGTTTTTCCTTCTTCTTTAGAATCATCCATTTGAGCATGAACCAGTCAAGTTCTGCAGCGAGGCGTTTCTCTTCCCTTTTGTCCTCCGCTCGCCTGATTCTGTTCTTGTTCCAACCTGAGCTCTGAATGTTTCCACCGTCTGTTTCAGCTGTCTGACATGTTTCTGTTTCCCACTTCCTGTCGCATGTGACGGCACGTGTTGGATCCACGAACCCCCCCAGTCCAGAGCCAAGGTTTTGGTTTTCTCTCCTCTTCATTCAGGCTCCGAGCTCCTCCGACTCGGAGAAAACCCGTCAGCGGTTCTGGCTCCTCTGCAGCTCCCAGCCGGCACGTGCGGAGCAGGCGGACAGGTTGTGATTTTCCCATCATGCATTGTGTTTGGGCGACGGACAGATTTTAGTTAGTGTCACGTTAATAAGGCGTCGGGTCAGATCTGCTGCTGAAGCTTGGTGAGTCACAAACTTCAGCTCAGAATCAGACTTTTATTTTGTTAAACATCAGGGATCCTCAGGGATCTGAGGAGTCTGAGAACTTTTGGTTTTGAGGGTACAGGGGTCTGAGGGTTCAGGATCCTGTCGTTTTAGGGGTCCTGTATGAAATCCACGTCTTAGACAAACTTAAAAAATTAAATTAAATTAAAAAAAAAAACTTCTCAGACGTCTGTCCACACAGAAACACTTTACCAGATCCAAAACATGAGACCGGATTCAATGAAAGTTGTCCTGCAGGACAAAACTGGACCAGGATCAGGACCCTTAAAGAAGCACAGGAGCTGAGGAAGAGGAGGAGTCCACGATGAAGAATTCATGTTGGACATCCAAAAAGACCAAGCTCTGCAGGAGGGGGGCTTTGTTTGGCCCCGCCCCCCCTGCCAGGCCCGCCCACCTGCTAACCCTATAGATGGAGCAGCCTGAGAGGACCCCCCCTCCACAGTGAGGACGTCCCCCCTGCTGAACAAGTCCTAAGAAGCTTAGTGAAGTTGTCCAGCTCCTGGTGGCTCCTCGTCTTCTCCTCCTTGTCTCCTGGAAGCTGTGCGGTCATGGCGGGCGTCTTTCTCCTCCTCAGAGTCCTCCTGCTGCTCCTCGGAGGGTCTCTCCTCCTCATCGGGGTCCCTGCTCAGAGGATCAGAGGCAAGTGCTGCAAACTGGACCTCCGTCGGGTCTAAAGGGTGGATTTTAGAGGAGACTCAATCTGGGATTAAAAAAAAGCTTTGAGGTCAAAAAGGTTTAGATTAAAAAAAAAAAAAACAGGCCAGGAATAAATGAATAAAATGAAAGAGTTGTTTTAGACACAAAAAGTGGAACAAAGTGGATAAAAATGTTTATAATTAGGTGAAAATAAGCTGAAGGTTAAACTAAAGGTGACAAAAATAAACTGGGCAGATTGTCTGAACTGAGATCAAGTGGATGGAAGTAGAGAAGATGGATTGAAATAAAACAAACAAATAAATAAACGAGACGAATGAATCCGTTTAAAACTCTTCAATAACGGGAATAAACGTGTAAAAGCTGCAATTCATAAATGAGCTAAAATAAAAAAAAATAAAAAACCTCTGCAGGACCTGAACCCTGCTGAGGTTCTGAACAGATTTCATTACTGCAAACGCTGACTCAGCACTAATCACATCCTTGTTTAGCTGACAGGTTTTAACCAACCACCCGTTTCTGCAGACTTTGTGTTATTAGTCGTCCATGTCACAACCTTCGGCTCTTTCAGTATATGGGTGCTGTGACTTTGTCTTTTTTTATTTTTATAATTTTTAAAATATTTGACTTTATTTAAACATTGACCCCATAGACATGCATTGGATTATCTCCAGGTCCTTCAAAAACATTGTTTAGTTTCAGCTACGTGCTCTGTTTTGTCTTCTTTGCTGCTTTAAGCTTTTAGCCACAGTTCGGCTACTTTTTGGAAAAATTTTATTACTTTCGGCTAGCCTTGACCATAGTGTTTAGTTAGCATTTTGGCTCGTTTTAGCCTGTGCTTTACACCTCTAAGCTTTCAGCTTGTGTTCTGCTTCTTTTAGCTGTAACAGTTTTAGCTTGTTGACCAGATTTCATTCAGCTCTCAGAATCAACCAGTAAAGGTTGTTTCTCAAGTTTTATGAATACTCTAGCCGACTCCTTTTAAAAACCAAGATGTTTGTCTCTTCAGAGGAACGCTTGTTTCGGATGTTTCCCGATGTTTCCCGTAGAACGCAACCGTTTGGTTTCTCTTCTCAGCAGAAACATTGTTCATGACATGATTTAACCATTTTTGTTGTTATCTACCTGGATGATTGAGCTTACAAAAACGTTTTTCAAACCTAAGCGGTTTGCAGGCAGGTGTGGTGGGCGGGGCCAGTACTCCAGCTAGCATGTGATTTTGTTCCCACCTTCCTGACTTTTATCAAGTTTTCTAAGAGGATAATTTGAGCTGTCAGAGTTGGGGGGGATTAGTTCAGCAGACGGATAGAACTCGACGGTTTCATTTGTTCCTTCAGACCCAACGTCTGTCAGAGAGAACAAATAAAATGATAAAATATCTTGTTTCAGCTTTAATGGGTTGCAGATGTTAGTCGTTGAACACCGAGCTAAAGGACATTGATTGGATAGAGTCCCTTCAGCGAATGAGGGAAAGCAGTGATGGTTTATTAAAGGCATGTAGGGGGCGCTGCATACACCTGAACATCTACCAAGATATTTTTTGTTGTTGAAATTTCTCCTTTATTTGTACAACAGCACATCAGAAAAATGTATTACATAAGAACAGAATGCAATGATTTGTTAATCTCATAAATATTGTATTCTCAGTGTCAGCAACGCATCAGCTGCAGAATGTAAGAAACTGAACCATTTTTAGGAAAAACACGAACTTCATGGCAACAACGCATCTCTTTAAAGTTGTTCCAGGTGCATGTTTTCTAACAGGACGTGTCTTTTAACATCCGTCTGTAAACATCTACTGAGGAGATCAGTTGTGGAAGGAATGTCGTCCCATCCTGGCCTGATGGAGGATTCTAGCTGTTCAATAGTCCTGAGCCTTTTTGCTCGATTTATTTATTTATTTATCCCTGGATGGGAGCAGATGTTCTTAAACCTGCATACTTTTCTGCATTAATGGAGCCTTTCCAGGTGTGTAAGCTGCCCATGTTATAAAACTAATGCACCCCCATACCATCAGAGAGGCAGGCTTTTTAATTGTGTGCTGAAAACAGGCTAGTTGGTCCCTCTCTTCTGCGGTTTCCAAAAAGTATTTCAGATATGGATCTCTGAGCACAGAAGAGTTTCCAGTTAACTAGTCTTGAGAAGACAGCAGCATTTTTAGAAGTTACGATATGGCTTCTTCTTTGCGTGATAGAGCTTTGAGCAGCGTTTGTGGATGGAACAGTGAGCTGTGTTTACAGACTGGGATGTGTGTCGTGTTCCTGAGCCCACAACAGAACCAGACCAGTTTTTATTGCAAAGGCCTGAAAATCATGGTCAGCCATTGTTGACTCTCAGCCTTGTCTAACGGGCACATGCGATTTGTTTACTATGTTCTACTGTAAATAAAATTACGGTTTATGAACTTTATTCAATAGAGTTTTAATGTACATTTTTTTACAATATCCAAATTTTTTCCGATTTGTCATTGTAATCGACCTTTTAAAAATTTGTTTAATAAAGCTGTCATTTGTTTTTATTTACTGTAGTTTTCTGGCGTTTGACAGTTTTGGTTATATTTGGTGTTCCATCGAGAACAGTAGTGGACTTTAATTATTGCATTTCCTGCAAAAATACAGCGTGGATGCTTATAGCAGAAGAACTTGCTTAAAAACAGCTGAAATTAGCTAAAAATAAGATGCTGAAATGTAGCTGAAATGGAAGAACAAGCTTAAATTAGCAGAAGAGAGCAGTAAGAACACACATTTGCTTAATTAGGCTTAAATAAACAGAAATGAGCACAACAATGAGGAAACTAGCTAAAATTAGCACACACAAAAAAAGCTAAAAAGGCAGAAATAAGCTTCAACTACAAGAAGGAAGCAGAAAGAGCTGAAATAAAAAAAAAGTGGAACTAGCTGCAAAAGCTAAATTTTACATAAAACAGCCAAATAGCAGCTGAAATAGTAGAAAAAGCTGAAATTAGCAGAAATAAGCCAAAAGGAGCACAACAACCTGAAAGTAGGAAAAAAATAAGTTAATTAGGCTGAAAATAGCAGGAGGCAGCAGATAAGTAGAAGAAAGCAGAAAGAACACATTTGCACAATTAAGCTGAAAGAAGCAGAAATGCGCACAAAATAGTGGAAATTATCTGAAAAACGCTGAAATTAACACACACACACACACAAACAACAACTGATAAGCAGATTTAAAAAAGGCAGAAAGAAGCTTAAATTACCAGGAGGAAGTGGAGAGAGCACATTTCTTTCAGAATTAGGCTGAAAACGTTGAAATGAGTGAAAAAAAAAAGTGGAATTAGCTGAAAAAGCTAAAATTATTACAAAACAGCTAAATAGTAGCTGAAATAGCAGAAAAAGCTGAAACTAGCAGAAATAAGCTGAAAGGAACACAAGCTAAAATTAGCAGAAAGTAGTTAGAAGAAGCACAAAAGTGTTGTAGTTAGCAGAAAGAATAAGCTAAAAGGAGAACAACACAGCTGCAAATCAGCTGAAATTAGCTGAACCAGAACAAATTGTGAAAGGAGCAGTACAACGTTGTAAACGGATCTAAATATTTGAAGGATGTAAAATGAGCTCAATTCATTTTTTATGAGACAAAAAAAAAAAAAAGGCAGAAAAGGCAAAATATTTAAAAAAGCTAAAGTTGCACCAATACAGAAAGTCATAGCAGGATTGTTCTGAACGAGCTGAACATTTTGATTTATGATTTGTTGAAGTAGCTTGAAAACTGCTGGATGAGAATCCTGCTGAAAATATACGGAAGAAAATGTATCACAATAGTGTGAATACTTCGTGAACATTCACACTATTGTGAATACTCTTATTGTGAAGGACATTATTGTTATTGTCAGTTGGCCTAGACCAACTGGTTAATGAGATCACATTCTCTCTATATTTTTAATAATCTCTTAAAGCCTTTTTAACATCTTTAGCAACATTTGGAATATATCTTATATTTATTTTTAGACATAAAGTGACTTTGTTGTCATTTTATTCTGAAAAGCATCAGAAACCCACGTGGTTTGTTGGTAAGAGTGCGTCTGGAGCTCAGATTCCGACTGTAAGCGGTTTATTTGTCCTGTAAACGATAATGAAGGGAGTGAGGCAGCAGACTGGGTTGTTTCAGGAACACACTTTGCTTTTACAGCTCCGGCTAATGAAGTAAAGCTGCTCTGACAGAGTTTCGGCTGTTTCCACTCAGAAACGCTGTTTTATTCCAAATCAGGACATCAGCGAGACGACGAGCTGCAGAAGTTTCTTCAGATTATAAACTATACATTTTTCAATCTTGTTGCGTTTTAAGCATCATTTTTAGTTGATGGTATTAGCTCTGTGTTGTAGAATTTCTGTTCCTCATATTTGATACTTTGTTTTATTAGAAGTACTTTTTTGTTGATGTTCTTTCAGACGACCTTGGTTCCATTTAGGGGTTTAGTTCTTCTGACGAAAGCTCAGATTCTGTTTTATTCAATGTGATGATGCGAGAAACGGTTCGGGGTTTCTCCTCACAGTGAAACTGTGTGAGCTGCGAGGGTTCATATGTTTCTCCTTGTTGCCCCATCTTGTTTGTTAATGTTCAATTAAACCGAGCAGAGCTGCGGGAACAAGCTAAAGGAACAAACAAGCTAAAGGAACAAACAAGCTGCAACAAACAAGATATACAAATAAATAAAATATATATCAAAAAAAGCTATAGGAACAAATAAGCTACAAAAATAAATGAGCTATAAGGACAAACAAACTATTAGAACAAGCCAACTATAGAAGCAAACAAAATATAGAAATGAAGAAGATTTAGGAATAAACAAGCTGCAGGAACAAACTATAGGAACAAAATAGCTGCAGGAACCAACAAGTTCAGAAACATATTAGCAATTGGAAGAAAAATAATCTATATAAATAAACTAGCTGCAGGAATAAAAAGCTATAGAAACGAACAAGCTACAGGAATACACAAGCTACAGGAATACACAAGCTGCAGGAATAAACAAGCTATAGGAATAAACAAGCTATAGGAATAAACAAGCTATAGGAATAAACAAGCTATAGGAATAAACAAGCTATAGGAATAAACAAGGTATGGGAACAAACAAGCTATAGAAACAAGCAAGCTTCAGGAATACACAAGATGTGGGAATAAACATGCTATAGGAATAAACAAAGTATAGGAACAACCAAGCTATAGAAATGAACAAGCTATATGAATACACAAGCTTCAGGAATAAACAAGCTATAGAAACAAGGAAGCTACAGGAATACACAAGCTATAGGAATAAACAAAGTATAGGAACAACCAAGCTATAGAAATTAACAAGCTACATTAATGCACAAGCTGCAGGAATAAACACACTATAGGAATAAACAAGCTATAGAAACAAGCAAGCTACAGGAATACACAAGATGCAAAAATAAATAAGCTATAGAAATAAACAAGGTATAGGAACAAACGAGCTATAGAAACAAACAAGCTACATGAATACACAAGCTGCAGGAATAAACATGCTATAGGAATAAACAAGCTATAG